GAAACAGGGTTGGGGAACCATGGCTAGCTGGGGGTGAGGCCAGGGGACTGTGGCTGGCTGGGGAGCAAGGAGGGGCTGGGGCAGTAAGGCAGGAGATTCTGGCTGGCTGGGAGGTGGGAGGCAGGGGCACGTGGGGCCCTTGACTGGCTGATGGTGAAGACTTGGTTGAGGAACCAAGTAGGATTTGATTCCTACTCCAAGTAGGATTTGGAGTAGGATCCTTCCCTACCTCACTGCCCTGGTAGTGCCCCAGGCTGGGGTCTCCTGGGCTTGTCCTCCCTGACTTTGCCCCCCTTGCAGTACCGATGCCTCAGCAGCTCCGCCGCCGGAGTCGCAGTCACAGCCGGCTTCACAGACGCCTGCCTCCAACCAAGTGAAACGCCCCCCAGCACCCCCCGAGGTGAAGGCTTGGGGAGGGGTGGGGAGGAATTGGGCAGGAAGGTGTATGCAAGCCCCCTGATGTAACTTATCAGACCACATTTCCTTCCCAAAGCAGAGGAGGACCCAAAGCTCCCCAAGAGACCCCACTGCCCTCCCAGAGCTAGAGAGAACCCAGGTGTCCAGGGTCTTAGCACCCCTGTGACCCACTGCCCTCCTAGAGCTGGAGAGGACCCTGGTGCCTGGTCTCCTAACTCCCCAAAAGACCCTACCACCCTCCCAGAGCTGGGATGAAACCCAGGTGTCCGGACTCTCTGATGAACCCTTCTTCTCCATCAGCCACTCTAACCCTACCCTAACTAGACCCCAGTCCCCTTCCATAGTGGGGATGGTACCCAGATGTCCTGTCCCCTACACCAGTCAGTCCCTGCCCCTATGGACAGTTCCCAGGTGACCTACCTGAACCTCCTGCCCCCGACTGATGACCTTTGGTGAGGGTCTATATGTGAAATATCTTGGGGAGCTGGAGCACTTTGGGGGTTGTGCCCCCAAACTCACCCGCCCCCTTTTTTTCTGTTTCAGAATCCCCCCACAGCAGCAGGCGGGGTAAAGTCTTGGGCTCAGGCCAGCGTTACCCATGGAGCGCAAGGAGATGGTGAGGCTGGGCACTAGGGGGCGCTGTGCAGTTGGAGGGGGGGGTGTCCTCCATGGTCATAGGGTTGTGGGAGATCATTGGTCCTCCAGGGGTTTAGAGGAAGCAGTTTGTGTTTTCTTCAACCTCTTTGGTCCCCCACGGGCATGGAGGCGGTAAGCCCTTGGTCCTCAAGGGTCATAAAAGTGAGAGGCCATTGGGCCTCCAGGGTTGCAGACTGGGCTTTCCCCTCTTTCTTTTCTAGAGTCATAGAGGTGGCAACCCCTTTCTGCCTCTTGGTCTTCCTGAGTCATATATGTGGGGAGCCCTTTGGTCTTCCCAGGGTCACAGAGAGGATAAGTCATTCCTCATTCCCCCTGTCCTTAGAGCCTGGATGATCATAGAGGCAAAAGGACCATAGAGGATCTTGGTCCTCCTGGACAATAGATGTGGGCTGGAGAGGGGCAGAAGACCACCCCTAACCACCCTCTCTCTTCCTACAGGTGGAAAGGGATCAAACCTACTGTCGCGATTCTCTCGCGAGGAATTTCCGACCCTGCAGGCGGCTGGCGACCAGGACAAGGTTGGCAAAGAAAGGGACACTGCCGATGCGTCGTATGGGCCAGGACCAAACCTCCGCCCCCAGAGTGAGTCTCACCCTGCCTCCGTTTCCCCTGTTCTTCATAGCTGTTTCCCAGTGGGGCACCTCACCCTGAGCCAGCTGCATTGTGTAGTTGGAGGTGGCTAAATTTGCCTCTCCCTCCCCCCCCTCCCCCCAAAAAAAGATGTGGGCCTGTTAGGTTAAACAAGAGAAGAGGTGCTAGTTTACAAGCTTCTTCTTTTTTTCTTTTAAGACAGAAGTGGAGCTAATAAGGTGTTTTTTGTGGGGGGTTTAAGGGTTGTCAGTAAAAGTGATGCCGATGTTCCACCATGATTGCCTCCCCACCCTTTGTTTCTGCTCGATGTGTCAGGGTGTTTTTAAGCCTCCTTCCCAGGCATTGGGTCTTGCCTACAGCAAAAGTTGTGGATGGTGACTGGGCTGTGCCCATGCTCCTGCTGGAAGCAAAGTCAGAGGTTCCTGGCTAGAGGGTCTTGCCCCTCCTCTCAGGGTCAGACCCATGCCATTTTGGGGGTCAGAAAGTAATTTTACCCCATGTTCAGATTGATATGGACTGGGGTGGGGGTTTGCCTTCCTCTGTAGTGGGGAGCATGGCCTCTATCCAGGGCCTCTTGAGTGTATATTTTCAACATTTTATAGAAACAGGACATTGGTTGCTGTGGCTCCTTTGCTTTACCTGTGGCAGGTGTTCAGTCTGTGTTGCGTCAGGGTGGAGGGGTAGTCCTATAGCATCATAGAAAATTTGGGTTGGAAGTGATCTCAGGAGGTCACATCTAGTCCTAGCCCCTTGCTCAAAGCAAGACCAGTCCTAATTAGATCATCATCTAATGTAGAGTTGAGATGGATTTGTCTGGGATGGTTTGGATAGGCCTGATCCTGCCTCAAGCAGGGGATTGAACTGTATGCGACCCTTGGAGGTCCCTCCAGCCCGACTTCTCTAGAAGTCTATGATTTTATGAAAAAAGTGGAGCAGCCATTTTATAAATACAGTATTTCATGATGTGTAAGTCGAAGTTTGAAGCCAAAATATTTACCTTTTTAAATTTCCGCCTTGATTTATACACCATATCAATACTTTTGACCCCAGCCCCAACCTGACTCAGACTTCTTCATTTACTGACAGTGTGGGGCTCAGGCCCAGCCTAAGCACATCCTATAGGCCTTACCATCACCTTGGAGACGCCGCTCAGCCGGGCGCCAAGCCCAGCCCTGTCCCCTGCAAATGATGCAGCCTGGGCCGCACCAGCTGAGCCCAACCCTGTCCCCTGCAAGCAGTGGTGCAGCACGTGCCCATCCCCCAGGTGCCCAGTGTGCAGAGGCAGGTATAAGTCAACCCCATATTAATGATCCAAAAAGTTAGGTCTATGAAAATCCTAACTTTTTGGATCAGAAAACTGGGGTCAACTTGCATACTGGACACCATCAAGTATGGTAAATAAAAAAAACCAAAGAGGTGGCCAAAAAAAAAAAAAGAAAAGAAATTCTTCTAGTCCAGGGGTAGGCAGTTATTTGGGCCCAAGGGCCACATAGCTCATCAAAACTCCCTATCATGTGTCATGTCAGCACCACTACCCCTGCCCCCCCCACCCTTCCCCACCATGCAGCAATTCACCAAAACTCCCTACAGGGTTTTCCGCCTACAGTGAGCAGTGTTTGGGAGCAGGACCGGCAGGCTAGGCCAGGATCATGGAGCTGGGTTGCAGGGTGGTGACAGATGGGGCCTGGGCCAGGGCTCGGGCCTGGGCTAAGCCACGGTCTGCTCCTTGCACGCCTTGCCCTGTAGGGGGTGAGGGAAGGGTGTGGTGATGTGTGGGGGGATAGGCGCTGCCTAGGAGCCAGCAGAGTTCGCCTGGGCAGTGCGGTCCGTGACACTGCATGGAGCTGAGTCCCATCCAGGGCAGCCCACCCTGCACTCCCACCCGCGCCTGCCGGCCCAGCCCCAACCAGTGCGCAGCTCCCAGCCCACCTGTGCTATACTTGGTCAGTAAAAACATTTCCCCTGGGCTGGAAAGCCAGCCTGGCTGCAGCAGTCATTCTTCGCAGTGCTGCCCCCACCCCCGACCCATCTCCCCCTTTGCCTTCCAGATGCGACGAGCTGGCGGGATGGAGGCGGGCGGGGTGCTGATGGGGAGCTGGTGCCCGAGGAGCGCCCCGGAGCTGGCCCGCAGCCCTCTGGGCCCCCCCAGTTCCCTCCCTACCGGGGGATGATGCCACCATTTGTGAGTCCTGAGGGGAAGGGGGAGGGGTAGTTCATTACCTTATTGGGTGCTTGAAGGGGCTTTGAGCTGGCCCTGTGACTTTAGGGTCCCCCTAACACCCCATGCCCTGTCATCCCCCCCCCCACAGATGTACCCCCCGTACCTCCCGTTCCCGCCTCCATATGGGCCTCAGGGACCTTACCGCTACCCCACCCCAGAGGCACAGAGGTGAGTGGGGTGGGGGTGGGGCGGGGGGATCCGGACACCTGGGTTCTATCCCCAGTTATGGGGGAAGGAGCAGAGTCCAGTGGGGTGCAGCCAGGGGGGTGGACACCTGGGTTCTCCTGGATCTTGAGGAGCTAAAGTAGTGGTGGGTTGGGAGCCCAGACACCTGGGTTCTTTGCTGGGTTTCAGGGCTAGAATAGGGGCTAGATTGGGAGCCTGGACACTTGGGTTCTGTCTTACCCCCCTCACCCCCGGCTCGCAGGCCCCCGCTCCTCCCACCCCATGCGCGTGTCGGAGCCCATCAGCCGCCCACCCGTGCTAAAGCAGGATGACCTCAAGGAGTTCGACGAGCTGGACCAGGAGAATGATGAAGGCTGGGCAGGTAGCACCCCCTGCTGGGCTGGGAGGAAACGCCCCCACTCCCTGCTGGATCAGGGCCAGCACCACCACCCCTGGGGCAGGTGTTGGGGGGCAGATATGGGGTTGGAGGGGGCAGCCCAGGCCCTGATTCTGCTCCTGCATGCCTGGCGTAGGTGCCCACGAGGAAGTGGACTATACAGAGAAGCTGAAATTCAGCGACGAAGAAGACGGCAAAGACTCGGACGAAGAGGCAACGGGTGAAAAAGAGTAAGACCCTGAGCTCTCCCCTCACTAGCTCAAATGGATCAGTCTGGTGGGAGCTGCTGGCCCAGTATCTGTTTCTCTTTCCCCCCCCCCCCCCCTCCCCTTTGCCTAATGGTCCAGCCCAGAGTGAGCTTCTGGGCTGTATCCCATACCCCCTTCCCCACCCCCTAGTGTGTTCATACTATTGGGGGATTCTCCCCTCCTAGGTCCAAATGAATTAGCCCAATATCCTCCCCATCCTTACATGTGGTTTAGCTCAGTGGGCGGTGTTCAGCCTTGTCCCAGACCCCCACATCCCTGCTTCCCAAATGAATCAGCCCAGTATCCATCTCCGTTACCCCCGCATATGGTTTAGCCCAGTGGGAGGTGGCCGGCCTATCAGCACCCCCTACCTTCCAAATGGATCAGTCCAGTATCCCCCCTCCTCATCCCCACTCCACTTGGACCAATCTAGGCTGGTATTAGCCCCTCCCCACCCCCACAAATGGTTTAGCCCAGTGGGATGTACCCAGCCTGTTATCAGTCCCCCACACCCAAATGGATCATCCCAGTGTCACCCTCCCCACCTTCACATAAAGGTCAGCCCAGGGGTACCTACATGGTCTGGTATCAGCCCCCTGCCCCTCCATGTACACTGCTGCCCATCCAAATGGATCAACCCAGTGTCACCCCCGTTCCCTGCACATGGTTTAGCCCAGTGGAAATGCCTGTCTACCCCCACCACCCAAATGGATCAGCCCAATATCTCCTCCTGCACGCACGCACGCACGGTTCAGCCCTGTTTGTCTGTCTCTTCCCTCCCTCCCCCTGCAGGAAGGAGGCGGAGCCAGCAGGTGAGGCCAAGAAAGGTGCTGGCCTGGCTGAGGCTCCTCCCCCAGCGAAGGCAGCCTGGGCTGAGACCTCACGCGTTCCCGAGGGCCCCAAGCAGCCAGCCCCACCTCCCCCCACACCCCGGCCCCCCCCACCTCCACCCCCAAATCGGGGCAACTGGGGGCAGCCCAACGACTTCCCGGTGAGTTCAATGTGGGGGTGGAGCATCATTTCCCATTGCAGCATGATTTAGGGACAGAGCATGGAGGGGTCTATTTCCCATTGGGGTGGGAGCTTCCTATGGTAGGGGTGGAGCCTCCCACATGGGTGGGGCTTGTGGGATCCTTTCCCATTGGGATAGGACATGGTAGGGGCTGGGGTCTTCTATGGGGCTTGGGAGGGAGGGACTGTTTTCCAGTGTGGGGGGTGCTCAGTAGGGGGAGACCTTCCATAGGTGGGGCTCTGGCAAGTCTCCCAGTGGGGCCAGGACTGTGAGGGGCAGGGCTCTGGGCTTCCCACCAGTAGGGTTGAGGCTTCAGTCATGGATTGAGCTGAACACCCAAAAGCAGTGGGGCTTTGGAGAAGGTGGGGCCTGGTGGTGTCCCCTCTCATAGGGTGGGTGGGGCTTGGATTGCAAAAATGGGGTGGGGCCTTGGGAAGGGCTGGCCCTTGTGGTGTCTTCTCCCACAGTCTGGGTGGGACTTGTGCCAGTTTCAGGTCTCCTGTTGGGGCAGACTGCAGTTGGGATCCCAGAGGGGGTGGGGCTTTGAGGAGGATGAGGCCCAATAACTCCCACAGGGTGGGTGGAGCTTCTGTCATGGTCTCAGCTCCACTATTGGAGGTGCTAGTGCTATGATCAACTGACTCCGCCCCCCCATCTGACTCCACACCGGTATCCCCCAGGGACGAGGCCCGCCAGAGGACGAGGATGAGGCGTGGCGCCAGCGACGGCGCCAGTCGTCGTCGGAGATCTCAGCGGCTGTGGAGCGAGCACGGCGCCGCCGTGAGGAGGAGGAGCGCCGCATGGCTGAGGAGCGCCGGGCCGCCTGCGCCGAGAAGCTCAAGCGCCTGGATGAGCGCTTCGGCGCCCCCACCCGGCGCCCCAAAGCTGAGAGCCCCCGGGCCCCGCCTCCACCAGCTCTGCCCCCTGCTCCTGCCACCCCGGCCACTGCTGTCGTTGTCACCACCGCTGCCACCCCGGACACCACCGCCGCCCCAGCGCCTGCACCGCCTGCCGCCCCGGAGATCAAGGAGGAGGCGGCTCCCAGCACTACAGTCGCAGAGGCTGCCCCAGGTAGGATGCGGCCCAGCCCTGAGCCAGCCGCAGCTCCTGTCCGTTATACCTAGCCCTCTCCCCCACAGCCCCATGAGTCAACCACAGCTCCTGTCCTCCTTATACCCATCCCTGCCCCACCTCCGAGCCAGCTGCAGGTCCCTCCCATTGTATCCAGCCCAACACTTCCCCCACCCCCCAAACCCATGCACTTCTTATCCCTGCTATATTCATGTGAGAACTGGCCACAGCTCTTATCCCTGTTGTGCCCAGCTCAATGCCCCCCAGCCCCCGAGGCAGCCACAGGTCCTAACCCCATTATACCCAGCCCCATGCCCACCCCACAGCCAGCCGCAACAATGGGGGACTAGCAGCTAACTCCTACCCTTTCTCTCACCTGTAGTTGAGCCCCCTCCAGCTCCACCACCAGCTCCAGCACCCCCGAAGGAAACCTTGGAGGTGCCTGAAGACCCAGTGCCAGCTCCAGCCCTGACCCCGGCTCCAGCTCCGGCCCCAGTCCTGGTTCCAGCCTTGGCCCCGGTTCTGGTTCCGGCCCCAGTTCCTGTTGCTGCCCCTGCTGCCCCAAAACCAGAGCCCAAAGCTGAGCCCCCAGGGCCCCAGCGCCAGCCACCCCCAGCCCAGCCCTTGGGTTATCCCAAGTACCAGAAGTCCCTGCCGCCTCGTTTCCAGCGACAGCAGCAGGTAAAAGCCAGGCCTGGGGCATCATGGGAAGCTGGAGGTCTGCGGGGGGGTTGGAAATGACTGGCCATTTTAGGGCAAGGGGCAGTTGGGGGTCTAGGGTGACAAGGGGCAGTTGGGGGTCTAGGGTTGCAAGGGGCAGTTCCCAAACTGGGGTGGGGGTGGTGGTTCCCTTGGTGATCACAAGGGGGTGCTGCGCTGCAGGGGTGTCTGGGGGAGGTGGTAGGGTTCACTCTGAATGCCCCCCCCCCTTTTTTGCCCAACTCCCCTTTTTGCCCCCTCTTCCAGGAGCAGCTGCTGAAGCAGCAGCAGCAGTGGCAACAGCAGCAGCAGCACGCGGCTGGTGCAGGAGGAGCCATGCCGGCCTCCCCCCAGCAGGCGGGCCCTCCCCTGGGCCCTCCGGTGGCACCAGCCACGGCTTCCTCCCAGCTCCCTGGGCCCCCACAAGCCCCACCGCAAGCTGCGCCCCCGCAGGCCCCACCCCCCAAGGCCCTATACCCTGGGGCCCTGGGGCGGCCCCCACCTCTGCCCCAGATGAACTTTGACCCACGCTGGATGATGATCTCGCCCTACATGGACCCGCGGGTGATGCAAGGCCGACCGCCTGTGGACTTCTACCCGCCTGGCGTGCACCCCTCCAGTAAGCCCCACCCCCTTCTGATGGCCACATCCCCATCCCCAGTGCTCCTTGGCCGAGTCCCATAGGGCAGAGAGTCATGGGTGGGTCAGGTCACCCAGGGGATCTAGTTCCCTTTCAGGGCCATGGGGCCAGCTTGATGCAAGCTGCCTCATTGGTCCAAGTGTGTGTGGGGCAGGACTGAGAACCTAGTCCAAGCCACCCCATTGGTCCAGATTAGACTGGAGGCTGGACTGTGAGAACTAATCTAAGCCACCCTATTGGTCCAGGTGTGGGTGTGTGGGACCATGAGACAGTGCAAGCAACCCCATTGGCCCAGGTCTTTCTGGGGGTGGGGCCTCAGAGACCACCCACACCACCCTGTGGTCTAGCTCCCTGGGAGGTCAGAGTAACTATTGGCCCCACCCCTGCAGAGTCCAGGCCTCTTCATCCATTGGCCCACCCTTGTAGGTAGAGCCAGGGCCACCCATTAGCCCTGCCCCGCTTCAGCAGATAACCCATGTGGCCTATGCCCCGTTGGTGCTGCGTTGTGAATGGTCTTGAGGGCCCATTTTCCATACTCCCATTGGTTCCCATAGCTTCCCATTGCCCCAGGTGCATTCTGGGAAGGAGGTAGGACTGCTAGGGGGCATCTCTGGTGTCTTATGACCTCTACCCTACCCCTTTCTAGGCCTGTTGCCCCGGGAGCGTTCAGACAGTGGTGGCTCAGGCTCGGAGCCCTTCGAGAGGCACCCGGGACCCCCGCTGCTACCCCGGGACCGAGGGACCCCCCCTGGCGAGCCCAAGCTGGCCTGGGGAGGTGATGCCTTCCCTGGCCCTGAGCCCCGGGGCCTCGCCTCCCCACTACGCCCACCTGAGGAGGATGACAAGGGCCTGCGGTGAGTTCGGGCCTGGTATTGGCTTGGGGGAAGTTCGGGGTCGGGGCATCACTCAGAACCTGGCAGTGATTGGCCTCTTCTCTTCCTCCACCAACCAGGAGCGAGACTCCGCCTGTGCGCCCACCCACCTATGTGGGTGCCTACCAGGCCTTCGGCGAGAATGGAGCACCGGCATCCCTGCCCCGCTTCTCCAGCGACGAGCCTCGTCCTGGGGGGCCTTGGCCGGCGGGCCTGGCACTGCCCTCTGGCCCCCCTCCAGCCCCCCCAGAACCTGCCCGCAATGGCCCAGCCCCAGACAAGGACTCCAGGCCTGACCTTGAGGACCCCTCTCAGGTGGCCAAGAAGCTGCCTGCTGAGCCAGCAAAAGAGGAGGCTCCAGTGGCAGTCACCAAAGTCTCAGAGCCTCCCCGGCGCCCGCCCCGCCAGACCCATGACTTCCAGCGGGCACCGCGACGTGAGCCCAAGACGGAGACCCGTTGGGGGCCACGCCCAGGTGCTTCCCGGCGCCCCGAAGACCCTGACAGGCCCCCGCGTCGTGCTGGGCCCATTAAGAAACCTCCCCCAGTGAAGGAAGAGGTCCCCAAAGACGCCAAGGAACCAGAGGCAGTGGCGGTGCCAGCAGTGCCCAAAGAGTCAGCCAAGCCAGGCCGCGATCCCAAACCCAAAGTGGCTGTGAACGGTGCCCTACCAGTGCCTCCTAAAGACCCATCGGGGATCTCTGCTTCACCCACCCGCCGCCGCCGGGAACCCCCCTATGCGCGTGTAGGAGCGGGGGGGGGGTTTGGGGAGCCGCGGGCGAGCCCGGGGCAGGGGCGAGTACTTCGCCCGTGGGCGCGGCTTCCGCGGAGCCTATGGGGGGCGCGGGCGGGGAGGTGGGCGCGGCCGCAGCCGGGAATTTAGAAGCTACCGGGAGCCTTTCTATCGGCCAGAGGAGACAATTGGTGGAGGAGTAGGAGGTGGAGGGGGGCCAGCTGTGGCCCCTGGCAGTGCCACGCGGCCACGCACAACCAGCGAGACCCGGAGCGAGGGATCTGAGTATGAGGAGATCCCCAAGCGGAGGCGCCAGCGGGGCTCAGAGACTGGCAGTGAGACCCACGAGAGTGCCAGCGACGTGGCTCATTCAGATAAAGAGGCGGCCACCCCAGCCCAGCACCAGCCGCCACCATCGGTAGCAGTGGCAGGAGGGGGAATGGCAACCAAGGGGGACAGGAACCGAAGCTCTGTGGCCTCGCAGCCACCTCCTGGGTTACCCCGCTTCTCTGACAAAGTGCCGCCGCGCCTCTCAGATGGGGGCGGCAGCCGTGGTGGGGCGGGCTTCTT